ACTTATTAAAGTATTTTGTAATCTTCCCACAATTAGTGATAAAATTCTTAATTTCCTCGATTTTGACTAAATCTGATACTATTAAATTAATTGCATGAGCGGCACATCGGATGTTTAAAATATGCGGATACTTTCCTGTATTTTTTTCCTTGCAACCCGACAATTAGCAGCAGAATCCGTAACAACAGCAGCAAATTTTTTAGTACCAATTGTTTCAATAATACTAGAAATTTCCAAAGCAAGAAAATCATCAGTATGAGATTCCAAAGAATAGTTTCGCAAAGAAACTAAATATTCTTTACGATCTGTAGTTATAATCATATAATTGTATAAAGATTCCCCTCGTTTAGACATCCACCCATCCAATTCTAATAAAAAAAAATTATATTAATATTAATATATACAATATAAATTAGAAAATTTTAATTTAAATATATCATACTTAATGTTAAATGCTCAGCATTTTCCAAATCTATATCAATGCTATTTTATACGTGTGCAACTTCTTCATCTAATAATCTTTCAGATAACATTGTACGCAATAGTGGAATGTAAGCAGGATTCAGTTCTTTAAATAAATCTACAATAAAGGAATTTTTGATCACTTCAAATGGTATACCACTCATAGTTTAAGCCTTTAAAAGAGACCGATCGATACGATTACTAACTTGTGAAGGTAGTAGTTGAGATGATCTAAAATGTTAATCAATATTTGACTGTACGCGAAATGTTCTAGTATAGGTAATATTGTTTTCTGCAAGCTTATTACGCCAATATTTATTAATATCTTCAGGTGTGCTCAAACACTCATTTGCGAGATGAGCTTTTAAGACACTAGGTTTTCCTCTTGCCCAAACTTTATTGCAATGGTAACAAGTCATCTTGTAATATCTCAGGTTTAATTCTTGACCCATAATGAAATAGGTCCAAACTTCATCAAAATTCTGCCCACCTTTTCTTACCCTTTTTTGCGATGGTGGTTGCGGTTGTGCTGGTGCTGGCGCTGGTACTGGTGTTGGGTTGGTGTTGAAATCTGGTGGAGTAGAGGGAGTACCGAAATAAGCGGTTATATTGGTTAAAGACATTGCATATACATTGGAAAACTTTGAAACAAACTAGAAGCCGACAATGAAAAAACCTCTGATCTCAGTACACAAAATCATATCAGTACACGAAATCATGATATAAAGTAATGTGACTTATATGAGTTATGTCACATTTTACATCAATTAAAGTTGCGTCAAGTCTAAAGTTAAATGTCATTTACGAAGTTATGTGACAATTTGACGCAACTGACGGGACTTTTAATGGTTTGACATAACCTCATGAATATCAAAAGTCTGCATCCCTATTTGTAAAGGTTTTGTATTAGCTTTATAGAATACCTTTTGGGTATTCCTATACATTTAAAATGTAGCTTTATCAGAAAAAATGACTTTACTCTAGTTTTGTTTTTTATATTTTGTAGCAAATTCAATATGCTTCTATTTATATTTTTCTGTAAAAAGGATATTAATTTTGAAACTTTATAAATATAATTGAGATTATGAAGTTTATTAAGCACTATGCGGTTAGTTATATTAAGATTAGTATATTTGACATTTAAAATATTTGCAAGCTCAGTGTATGTTAAGAATTTATTTATTGAAATAAGCTGACTAAGATAATGGCATTTTTTAGAAGAAAGTTATTTGGTCTTTTAGGTCAAAATAAAGGGTTTAAAGTGGTATTTTTTTGAGTTTTTTGATATATTTATAAATATTAAAGAGAGAAATAGAAGTTAGTTCATATAAAGTTTGGGTATCATGAATACTAATTTTTTACAAAAAAGTTATTATAGTATAGCATTATTTTAGTATAACTTAAACTATTATATATCTGGTATAACTTTAGCAAAATATAAATAAAACAAAAACAATGATAATCATCATAAACAAAAATGATTGTTATATTACCATATGATAGTATTTTTTTATAAGTTGTATATTGTGAAAAATTTTTAAGTTTTTTTTGCTACATTTTATTTTCATTACTTTTTTTGAGAACTGTAGACTTCAAATTTGATGTTCATAAAATGCAATACTAAAATCAATCAAAATATATAAAAATTGCTGTAGATTTATATAATTAAAAAACAAATTAAGTAAAAAGTAAATAAATGTAAAAATGATCATTAAAAATTCATATTATCATACTTTTGTCAACTAAATTATATAAATCATATATATTTTGATATGTTAAAATCTATAAATATTAATTTTCTACCTTCTTATATTATTTTTAAATATAATATTGAATCTAGTTTTAAATATAAAGAAAAAAATATGCAATTATAACTTTAATTATAAAAATTTCAAACAAAAAAAATAATAAGAATTTGTAATAATAAGTTTGTATTTTAATTTTTTCTAAAAGGAATTACTAGATACATTTTCAAGATTTCTATAAGTTTTGAAAACTTGATTACTTAGTATATTTTTAATAAATTATTAAAACTTCTTAATTTCAAACTTATATTATTAAGAATATCAATTAGGATTAATATTAAAAAAGAGAAGATATTTTTGATTAATTTTCTAATTCTTTCTAATGAAATATATAGATTTTATTTCTTTGAATAGTATTTTTTAATTCATTAAATTTAATAAAATTTATTTTTATTAGGTAACGTAGCTAATCTCTATTATAATATAGTGAATTTTTCTGTGATATCTATCCAAATTCTAGAAAAACATTTGCATTTTAATGAGAAATCTTTTTAATAAATCTATAATTTCTTAGAGATTATTTCTTTTTATATTATTTTAGCTAATTATATATGCTAGCCTTCTTTCAAGTGAGCGACTAATTCTCAAAATTATTTAATGAAATTTCTTGCAATACCTATTTAATAATAAACTGGTGTAATATAAAGAAAATTTATAATTAGTTTAATTATAGGATTACTATAAAGCTAATTTAAATCAATGGTATCTTTAAACCTTTAAAAACTATATAGAAATAGGAAAATGTGATCTAATGATTTGAAGGTTGTAGTTGACCCTTTATAATAAGAGGAGATCATATCTTAATCGTTTAAAAAAGCTTTAATTTTATTCTGTAAGCTTTTTTTATAGGCAATTATTTAAACTATTCAAAATAAATCATAAATTTTAAAATCAGAATTATCTAAGTTAAGTTAATATAAAGTTAATTATATTAGTCATAGAAAGCATAATCAATAAATTCAGTAAATAATTATCTAATTTTGAGTTTTTTATTATATTATAATTTGAATTCAGAGTAAATTAAAATCAGTAAATAAAGAAAAATTCCAATTTTAAAATCAACAATAGTAATGTTTCAATTTATTTTAAAATATCCTAAATGATATGATTGTTAAAAACTACAAATAATTTGAATATTAAAAACTTTACATTTTGAAAAATTTTAATATTTTTAAAATTTTTTTATTTAATTATTTACATTATCCAACTATATTTTAGCTAATAAAGAAGTTTAAAATTTGAATGGTATAGCTAATAAAATAGAATCTAAATTTTAAAATAAATAAAAAAACTTTTAATTGCTACATTTAATAATAATAAAAATAAATTCTATGACTTGTAGCAATTCATCCTGTTAATAAAATTATTTAATATAGAAATTAAAAAAAATGTTTCAAGAAAATTCTATTAATGCTTTTTAATCTTAATAAAAATCTATATAGCTAAGTGAAAACATATTATTGTAAAAGAATTTTATAACTTTAAAGATATTTTAAAAATTTTAATGCAATTAAAACTCAATATTTTATTTTTAAGAATATTATATTATTATATAAATAATAAATATAAGATATTAGACAGAATTTTTTAAGAATTACAATAATAGTAAAAAATAATGATAATTAATATTATAATAAAAGACTAACAAAAGAACTCAATCTAGATATAAATTTTTTTAAAAAAAAAATTACTAATAATTTATTTATATTAGTAATATTAATTATCAAAGTGGTAATGATAAAAAATTGATAATAAAAAAAGAAAAATTATATAGTGTGATAGATAAAATTTTAGATAGATTTAATTGGTAGATTAGGAAGTTAATTCTATTGCTATATAGATCTTTTAGAAAGATCATTTTATCAATTTTATTGCTATTAATCATTATATAAATCTCTAGATATCAATTTTATTACTTTTGATAATCATGTAGATCATAGATGTCTATTTAGTTACTTGCAGATCTGGTAATTTTATTGATACAGTAACTTTATTACCTAGCGAAATGGTAACTTTATTTCTATCAATATATTTAGTTTAGTTTATTTTATTATTTATTCAGCATGTATAAATATCTCTGTATTTTCTTTTTGTCTCAGCACTGATGAGATAACAATTTTTTAGAAATTAAACTTATATATTATATTAATAAAGAAGTATAATTAACTAAGTATAAAACTTATCTTTTGCAAACCTTTTGAACTTGTTATAATTTATTCGTAACCCTTTACATTTGTATAATCTCTTTAACTATTATTAATAAACCTTTTATATGATATTATATTAATTCACTATATTGACTTAGAGTCTCTGAAGTATAATCTTTGAAATATCTTTGAGTTATTTTGTATTTATTTATATTTATATTATGTGTTATTATTTGAGAATAATCTTAGACTAAAGCTCTGAACGGTTCAGATTAATCTGAAGATTTTTCAGATTAGATTAATTCAAATTAGTTTCAGATTGCATAAAAATCAATCTGAAAATTTTCAGTTCAGTTCAGATTTTTTTCAGATTATAATTCTAATCTGAACTGA